CCCCCCCCCGCCACAGAGCAAACCACATGGCACTCCATTTAGCTTTAAAGGGATAAAAGGCTGAACCAACTCTACAGGGAGCCTAGATAAGATGGAAGAACCTCATGTAAGCCCCTTGTTAACAAAATACCCTTCATCTGTAGCCAGCATACATTTTGAGCCCTTTTTTTTGTGAAAAGCCGGTAAAACAAAGCAATGCAAGCCACTGCGAGGAGTAAAAGAAATATTCTTTTGGGCTCTCAGTGTGAAGTATGAGGTTAGAGAAACCCACTCCACAATTCTCATGATATTCTGATAGCATTATTTTCTTTGATTCCCAAAGCATCAACCTCTCTCAAACACCTACACTGGCCCCTTAGCTTGGAAGTGCAACATTTCTCCTTCATAACTGATTTCCAATGATAAACCAGTTTCCATATGAAAGAGACTATATTATCAGGGTTTTCACAGTTGCTTAATCAAATCAAGGAAATCTGTAGCTGTCTTCAACATACAAAAACTACAGCTTTCTCCTCCACTCTCTCACTCACAAATACATCCTCCCTCCCTCCCCCACCACACACACACACACACACACACACACACACACACACACACACACACACACAGAGCAAGATGGACAAGGGTCTTGCTTACTCTGTTGTGGTTGTCAGCTCCTCTGTAACATGAGCTGTCTGGAGAAGGCCTTCCCGTTTCTGGAAGCCAAGATATAAATCAGAAACTAGAACTATAATGGAAGGCAAGTTCATTAAGTGATCTGCAGCAGCCATCTCTTTTCTGAGTCCCAAAGGGCACATGCATTTTATGTAGCTTGTAAAATAAGGTTTTTGTAGGGGTAAGGAGCAAGGCAACTGACAGAGAAGTTAACCCTAAGTACAGTGCTACTTATCAGACTGACAGCCAAATAAATATTTAGAAGACATATATATAATTACGTTCAACACACTAGCAGTTGCCCTCAGACCAGAACCTCATTTTTGCCTGAAACACAAGGGAGAGAGTGAGTTTGCCAGCTCCATCCTAAGTTCCCTATGGATATTTGTTCACAACACAAAAATCAACCAACAATTTCACACAATTGGCAGCTTCAGTCTCCAGAGAGGTCTGAGTCTGGGTGATTAACCCAGGTCAGAGTTCAGCTATCAGTATGTGTGGGAAACTTGCACAGTATAAGACTCTAACTGAACCTATGAGTCAGTCTCTTGATGTCATGACAACAAAATCTACCAAGAAACCATAGCGGAAAGAGGGCTGACTGTTTTATAATGGAAGCTATTCTCCTTTACTGGATTTCTCAGGATGATTTCCTCTAATTTACAGAGAGTCAGTGTGGGGTGAGATGCAGGTACAAAGTGGTTTTAAGCCAGACTTAACTGAAACACAGCCTTATGCTGCAGACTCTATCACACTATCACAGTAGGTCCTGGAAAAATCCAAATTAACTGTGAACATAGTTTGTTGCTGCTGTTGAATCTACCGGTCTGGTATTTTCCTGACTGAGTACTGAACTAGTGCTTTCACATGCTAAAACACTTCCTAGCATGTCCTTCCACTGAGTATGTGGGTACCCTGCAAAACTAAAGGACTCCCTATTTCATTCAAAATGGAACATTTCTTTTTTCTTCACTCAAAGCTTTGAGCTGCCTAGAAGTCAGCTCCCAAATGCTGACAACAAAGGCAGGTTTGTCAAATGACTCATGACTAAGTTAACTAAGGCTGCTACTAGTTCTAGTTTTCAAGACAAAGCCTCACAAGGCTAAAACCCTTCCTAAATATTCCTTGGCCTCTGAATGAGTTTTGCTAACTGACCTCCAAATACTGGGCAACAAATAGTTGTTAAGACGATCTCCAGAAAGAACTCCTTCAATACCAGCTTCTGACTAGGGCTGTGCAAAATTTCACCAGCTGTTTCATTTCGACGCTGTTTTGACTCATTTCAAGCTTGAAATAGTAAAAATCGAAAGAAAACTAAATGAAAGGCTTCGAAACAGCCTTGAAACAAAACAAGGGCAGTTGAAACATTTTGAAAGTTTCAAAACATTTAGAGTTTTGAAGCTGGGCTTGCCTGCAGCTAAACAAAAACTAAGGAGAGGGAGGGGAAGAGGGGGGAAGGACTGCTCTGATATTGACTGTGTAGCTGGCCAGTGACTGTGATCCTTCTCTGAGGTCCCTTGCAAACCCAGTGCTCTGGGGGAGGATGGAAAAACAGCATAAAAAGCACTGTTTGAACTGAGCTTTCTCTGTGCCTTTACACTTACAAGTGACACAGTTTTGCTCTGAAGAGTTTGAGGTGCAGTTTCCCAGACACCCTTGCACCCATCTCCTAGAAGCGTGACAGGCTTCATGGCCTCAGAAGGGGCTACCACCCCTGCAAGTTTAATCTGAATCAGGCAAGAAATGACAAAGTTATAGGCAGCTTCGTGCTTCCCCATTATAGCCTATGGGCAAAACGTCGAAACAGCAAAACTGTCTCGACAAAATGAAACACCGTCCTGTTGAAATGGCGAAACAGAAGTCGAAAAGAAACAGTGCTGTTTCGCACAGCCCTATCTCTGACCTATAAGTCCACCTACTGGAGAATTGCTGCAAGAATACCAGACTTCTTATTAGCACTGAGGCCACATGTGCTGCAAATCTGAATATAGAAAGGGGCAAAAAGGGCCCTGTTTAGGTAAGCCTGGAAGATGACAATGCTTGAGCCACACAAAAAATAACCAACAAGAGCAGGACTTAAGAACTGCCTTTATGTTGACTTCCTAATAAGTCCCTTTCTATTTTCCTGTTTTAAACTTCTTCGTGATAAAAACCTGATGGATGGGAATTCATGTTCTAAGTGACAATGAAAACCCAGAACCTGGAAGTCAGCCGGGAGAGAAAGCTCAGGGTGCTCTGTTCCTATCACAGGCAGGTACCTCAGAGTTCCCTTGCCTTTTGTAGAGAGTGTTAGTGATACAAACATTAAAGAAACTCTGCAAGTGCCTATATGTATAGCCTTGCTAAACCAGCACCTGAGGCAGCTACTTAAAGGATCATAACAACCAACAGACTAATATGAGCACTTGTTGCACTGGTGGACTATGAACATGGCTTTAGAGGTCAGATTGCTGGCTTATTTCACAATCAAAGCAATGTAATAGTAAAGACTAAGAAACAATCATTCTGTCAGTCAATATGAAGCAGTGCTTAATTCTTATTGTGTTAAATCCCCCAGGCCCTGAACTTAGGCTCAGCATCATCTGGTGGTACCAGTCATAAAATAGTAATTAAGCAAAAAACAGGTTTCCTCAGGGCTATTCTCTACCTTTTTCTGTGGTATATATTATATTCCACAGAATATATATATTATTATGTGTACAGCAGAGATGAAAGCTCTCTATGCTAAGACAAGTAAAGCAGAGAAAGGCCCCTCAAAAACCTAAGCTTGCAAGACTCTTCAGTGCACACACAAAAGAGGGATGATGAACCCAGACGAAATTACACAGGTTTCAGATATCAAACAGTTCAGATTTCAAAGGCATGGGAGAGTTTGTATTACATCTCTCAAGATCTCAACAGATCTCTTGTTCTAACCTACAGCAAGTTGTTATCATTACATTTTATTTTACTCGGTAGAATCATAGAAAGTAGAAAATGAAATGACCGTCTGGATCACTAAATGACTACTCATTATGTTATTTACTAAGCATAAAAAGCACTAACATCTCTCTCATTGGAGACCACAACGGCTTATCTTACCCCCATTTAACAGATCAGGAAGTTGAGTGATTGATTTTCAGACACTTGTCCTCAATCAGAATTATGGACATTTGGCATCACTGACAAGAAATCAAAGTCACACAGCAAAAAAGCAACTGAACAAGATTTTCTGACTATTGCTCCCATACTTTATTCACTTGGCAGTGCTTCTTCCTTACAAAATCCATAACAGGCGGATGCCTTTCAGACAGGAACATGATGACCCAAAATTATAACCTACCTCCTGCCTCCCCCTCCTCTCCCCCCACAAATTTTAGTTTTATAATGACAATATTGCTAGTGCAAAACATTTTTTAGTGTCATTAACCTCAGGGTTAGCTAGTTGGTTTGTGCAACTTTAAAAGATTATATCTCCAATTTAACTTAAAACAATTCAAATATGATAAAAACCCATAATATGTGTTACAGTGACAATATCTGGATCTTGGGAAGCACTGGATTTGCAGCTGAATGAAGGCTTTACCTGTGGCCTAGCAAAAGCTACTGACCACAAGGCAGAATGATAGCTAAGCCAGCCATTGCTTATGCTAAGTAACCATCTTAATTGTGTTAACCATTTTTCTGAAAAAAGCAGCAAATAAGTCTGTGTGCTGTGAACCAACCACAGTGAGGAATGAGGTAAGATACAGGGGCCCAATAAAGGTGGAAGATGGTACAACCTGAGACTAAAAAACAGATTGAAATGTGAAAAACAACACGTAATTGGTAACAGAATCCAAGATGAGTATATGCAAAAAGGTGAATGGTGACTGGTGAAGAAGCCTCCAGAAGCTTCCAGGTTTTGGTCAAAGTCTGCCCATTGACCGAAGAGCAGGAGTCAAGGTCTTAGACATATGCTTATAGCAAAAAGACATGTAAATGAATGAAAAGCATAGGCAATTCCATGCTAATGAAGCAAACAGTAAAACAGAGGTGGAGCTTGAGATGGGAGCAAAAATGTGTGGAACAGAAGGAGGGAAAGGGTGGAATAAATGTTAATGAGTATAAACCAAAGTGTATAAATGTGGGGAAAAACTATTGTTCAGTGCAGCTCCCTGGTTTGTTGTTTTTTTGGGAGCTAGTCCAAAGCTGTCTCCATTCTGAATAAAGCTGTTGCAAGCAATATGTGCTGGGGTTTGCTCCCTGCTTGCTCTGGCTAATGAGTAACAGGATCCATGGGCAATTGGATTGTCATCTCCCCGGTTGTTGGGTGCTGCATGGAGTCAGGGTCTAACAATACGTACATATCAATTAATAATAATAGTATCCATAATATAGACATATCAATTAATTCATGGGTTGAACCAGTTTAAATGAATCCACAGTAGAGATTTGGAGCAAGTTAACTGAATCAATTCCTCTTCAGTGAACTGGAGGTTAAAATTGTATGCAGAAGACTCAAAGCCCATAAATTTTATTACAGACTTTTTTTTTTTTATTACTACAGTCACCGGAAGTGCTGATCACCTGTTCTGGTTGCCACGTAAAAAAAAAATAAAATCATACGAGATCTTCAGGACATAGATTAGGTAAATAATCAAGACAGACAGAGGGGAGATAGTGTTGCAGCATATACACAGTAATCAGAAAGGGTTAACAAAGACCATGCTCATAATTCCCACTTACCCTTACAACCACCACTTGCACAGAAACATGCTCAGGGAGTCGAATGGGTGCCCGGAAGTGCATGGCCAATGCTACCAGTAGGTGGAGGATGGAAATGAGATTCTTGCCATGGATCGCTAAATTAAAGAGTTGAAATCAACATTAGAGGCAGAGGACTGGAAGGGGCCTCCTGGGTCTGAGACCTGTCCCATGAACCCTGTTACACTAACACTTTCTAAACAGTAACCAAAAGCAACTACCATAAGAGGTGAGAGGGAAGGTGGAGGGGGGAGAAGGAAAAATTGAAAAACCTTGACTGGTTAGCACAACAATACCCCTTCAGGGCCTTTCCAATAATGGTCACACAAGAATTTTACAAATATTAAGGAACTCTCTCTAATGCACTGGACATACAGATAAATATTACCTAAATTTCAAAACATGGAAATAGAGACAGGAGTCCGTAACACAATTCAGAGGCAGTCAAGAGCTTAATCCAGACCTGCCAACTCCCCATCCACTAGCCCCTTTGCAACACAATCATAAATTTCCTCAGGGAAAAGGTAAGGGGTCTTAAGAGAACATAAGATACGCCCCAACATGACTAAGTTTAGCTTCATGAACACACGTATATACACACAAGCATATCAACAAAACACAGGAAAGTGATTTAGATAGCACTTGTGTGAAAAGCATGTTCACAGAAATGTCAAATTAAACTGGTGATATAAGTGAATCAGCACATCTCCTCAAACTGGCTCAGGTGCATTCAAATGAGCAAAGTCAGATCAAGTTACTGTTTATCAGGATAGATGATGCATTTCTGAAATAAGCAGCCCAAACCAAGGGGCAATCATTTGGATTTCCACCATAAACCTGAAGCAATCACACTGAAGCAGATGCTTCCCAGAGGGAGCTTACAGTCGACATTCCACTTGATCGTCCAGCCATGGGGTCGAAGTAGATCATGGACAGTCTCCAGAACAGTTTGAAGCTTCTGTTTTTGGCCAATTTCTGACTGTGTCACCTCCGCCACATTCAACTTGCGGTCGGCTAGCTTTTCTATATTTAAAGAAACAGACAGAAGAAGAAGAACATATCAGACAAGACATGGAGGAAAAAAACAATTCAGGCTTAGAACTGGTCTAAAATTTTCTGACAGGATGGTATCCCTCAGAAAATGACTGTCAAAAAACAAACATACATTTCAGGGAACTGGTTCTGTTTTGAAACAGTGTTGTGATGGAGCCCACTAGACAGGTTTTGGATCTTTCACTGGAAACCTGACTGATTTCCTGACACCTCCCTGCCCACTTGAAGGAATGCCTCATAGTCAGGACTCCTGGGTTTCCAGATTCTCAGGCCAAGCAGCCCTGAGTTAGTACTATAAGTACTGCAGGGTGGGGAGTCAGCTGGATGACTTGGCAGCTGCTAATCAGCAATGGGCAGCAATAAAATCAGTTAAATTGACCAGAATCATGACCATTTCAGCCAGTAGTTGTCTGGGATCCTAGAAGGAACTGCCAACTCAGGCTGCTCCTCTAAGATCCAGGTAGAGAGCTGGTACTGTCCCTCCTCTTTCCCAAGCCAAGGAAAGGATGGTCAATTCACTGCACTATTGAGATAGGAAGCATTTTTTCCATTAGTTTTTCATCAGGAAATACTACTTCATCAAAATAGACTTTTTGTGGGGAAATAGCTTTACACACTCGCCAATCACTGCTTCCAAGATACCAAATATACAAGCTCAGGAGTAGATATACTGCTAGTCCAGCAAAGACTCGGCTTCTGTTTCATGCTGATACCATGGATCTGGTGCAATCTCAGCTCCTCCCAGTGGTACTACTCATTCTCTTGATAGAATTTTACAAATGGTACTCATCTGTTCACTCAATCTGCCAGTCACTTGCAAATCTGTTACTCTGAGCAGTTTCAAAATTAGCCAGATAACAAATTTCTGTCTTTCACCTGTCACATTATTTTAAGAAACTTTAATGTTGTTATGAAACCTCCTTGGAGCATGTCTCACATCCATGGAACAATTACCATCAAAGTGAATGAGGGTGAATGTACTGATTTCTCTTGCACACAGAAGGGAACAAGGCTACAGTGCGCTCACAGATTAAATAAATGGCCAACTTTACTCAAATACTGTGCAACCCAAGTAAAGGTGGCACCCCAGCACAATACACTTCTTCTCATCTTGTGTTAAATCATACAGCAAGAAGCCAGATTACTTCAGTCATGGTTGTATTGTTGAAGCTATCTAGAAACCACTGAGAGGAGCATGGAATTGGAACCCAAGGGCAATGACTAGGATCCCTTGAGAAGCATTTGTAATCAAATCACAGTTCTATCATGGCAAAAAAAGGTGAGGGGAGAGGAGGGGCAGAGGGAGGGGAAGGCCAAGGCAGCTAAGCTCTGATCCTGCAAATGCTTACAGACCTGCCTAATTATACTCACATGAGAAATTCCATTGACTTCAGCAGGGCTATACATGTAGATGAAATTAAATGCGGTACATGAAGTTAAATGCACATTTTAAGAGTTCGTAAGGTCAGTTCCTAAGTGTTTTACCACCCCCTCAACAGAAAGTAACTGACCTGTTATAACAGCTGCTCCTGTTGTGGAATACCCAGCCCAGGCACTGCACATCTTCCCCTTACCTATCTTTTGCTCTTAGTCTGCAGTCACACTCCACACATTCCTCCCTAAGCAGAGATGTCCCAGGTTCTCAGCATCCACCTGTGCCACTTCCCTGCCACTCCAGACTTGACTTCTAGAGCACTGGCAGCACAAAATACTCATTCTGAAGGGCTCACTAAGCAGCCATTGAAGATGAAGCACCTGGATACAAAGATAGTTTCCTGGGGTCTCCTACACAGAAAACACTTAGCCAAAAACTTCTGACTAATACTAACGTTTTGGGGAAAGGAAATTCATGTTAGACATGGATGGAACTGTGGGACCACAACCAGGAAGGAATGCTAGACAGGCAATCCAATCAATGAATCCATAGATTCACAGCCAAAACTTTGTTCATACAGACAGTCTCAAGGAAGATGTCTCTTCTCTGCTTCTTGCACCCTTTGTTACCTGTCAGATCTGTTACTGAGGGAGCCCTGGCACCCAGCTTGCTGGACTTACAAAGGACTTATTCTATTCCCTGCCCCCACACACACCTCATCTACCCAAAACTAAGCAGAAGAAAAGTTTAATAGGCATCTCGGGCCATACATTCCCCAGTCCCAGTATGGGAGGCCTATTTAAACTTGATGGACTAAAACTTGGTTGCTGGGTTAGGGAATGCTGAGGCAAAAGACCGAGTCAGAGGGGGTATGGGCGACATTTGAACAATGGTTAAGGGTTCATCACAGCATCCAGCCCATTGGAGCCCTGATCACAAATGTTGTCATACTTTTCCCAGGATGACTGGTGGAAGTCCTCCACAAAGTTTATGACCACTTCAAGTAATCCCCTTAAGTCAGTTAAAAAACTACAGTAAAATCTAAAGAGTCATGCTAAGCTGAGACTTATTCACAACAGGCAAAATACAAAACACTGATGGTGACTTCACAGTGCAAGCATAGCTAGGCCATCTGAGAAGAAACAATGTGGTATCCCTTCCAGTATAATCTCCTATATTCATAATAATTTCAAGCTGGCTCCTAGGTGTCTAGTTACTCCTTAAAACTTAATGTTTTTCCTGGTTGTTAATCATTTCTTGAGATGTTCCAAACCAGATAACCCCTTGTCACTGGAAAAGGTAATTCATTTAAATTTAAACTGTTTATATAACAGGATTTTCCCTGTCAATTATGGCTTGGGACCCTCTTGATTTACACAATTAAAAGACTGCTTTGAAGAGGCTAGACTAAGGGTATAAGAAAGCTGTAAAGCAGCAAACTGTGTGCTTCGAGAGAAATCTCTCTGACACCATCTGCTGTTGTTCTCAAGAAGCTGGGAAAAACAGATTGTCTCCCTTCCACGATCGTGTTAAGAAATTTTGTTTGTCAACAAACCACCCGAGTGTCTTGAAACGGTGAGATCCCAGCTCTCGCTCGCTCTCTCTTTGTCTTTCTCCCTCTTCCTCTCTCTCTCTTTTTTCTTTTTCTCTCTAGGCATAGCTTTCTGAACCTAAATTGTATTAGTTAAGCTTGAGCTAGGTTTCCCCAAATACTCAATTAAACCAGGGTAATATTGTAATTGTTTTGTTTTTCCTTGCACGTCTATTATTACTAGTACCATTATATATTTCATATACTTAGCAATAAATAACTTTTATAGTCAAACTGGTGGTAACTGGGCATATTTTTCCTTCTCTACTTCTCCTTCCCTACTTGCTCTAAAGCAACGTTTCTTTTACCTAAGCCAAAGATCCCTGTGAAGCCCAAAAATACTGTGGGGTCCGCTCATCAAGAGGCTACCACTACTAAGACAGTTAGGGCAAAAGATTGGGCGTGCTGAGTTTGAGACACATAAGGGGATCAGCTTGTATAGGCTGATTGACCCAGTTTGGCTCAGACGTGTCCTAATGAACTGAATGCTGGCCCAAGAGGGTGTCAGCTGGACACCCAGCCTGATTCAGAGGTATTCTGTTCACCTCTGTGCTTGTGTCTGACTGCACTTCATTGTTACCTTAATGAACTGATTCCTGGCATATGAGGGTGTCAGCCTGTACAAGCTGATCAACCCGGCCAGGTCAGGCATGTCATGTTAATCTGAGTGTGTGTTGACTAATTTGGTGGCTGGAGGAGCCCAGCCCCACTAAAACGGAGTCCTCCAAGATAGTTTCATTGGGGGCGAGGACTTGCAGAAGGGAGAGATACAGCTCCATATAGAAACACAAGTAACACAAGCAGCACATTGATAGAATTACAAACACCCTAGAAACGTATCCCTAATAAATGAGCACACCCCAAAGTGATGGACAAATCTGGTAACGCCCTCCTCGTTGCTGTTAAAACAACCCCTGTTAAAGCTTTCCCATTTTATTAAGCTCTCTCAGGCTGTGTTCTGAGTTTTAATTGCACAATAAAGTCATTATTGTTAGTCAATGCTTAAAAGCTTGCAATTGTTCATTAGAACACTGGAGGGGGCACTTTGTAAGTGGCATGTGAGGGTACACAGCAAGCAGCATCCATTAAGGCCAATGAAACTGGCATGACTGAACTCCTTGGCTCTATCTAGCTTGCTCCAAGAACAACCCATGGGGAGCCGTTTTCAATTAGCAAGTCCCAAGCACTAAGGAAACAGGCTTGCAACTCTCATTCACATCTCTAATGTTCTTCTGTAGTAGATCTGCCTAATCATTTGCCAGCTCAAGGTCTTTCCATGGCTTCAGAGATGCACCCCATGAATCACTGCACCATTTCCTGCAGTTCATCCTTTGAAGAACTCTGGAAGGATTCATGGGTGAAGTTATTGGTTGTCAATGGGAAAATGAAGGTAGAAGGGAGTTGCTGCAAATTACTCTACTGAGTAATTGCCACAAATAACTGAAGACATCCCTCTTCCTACCCTCTCTCTGAGCCCAAGGCTACGCAGCAAAGCCATCCTACTCAATACCACACATTTTCAAAAAAACATTTTAAAAATAACAATACCAAACTGAAAAGACAAGCCATTTGGAATTTACAAAACGGCCCAAAGACTTTCAAGAACTGGGCACGACCAACCTAAAGTAAGGCTCCCTAGCTTGGTTTAATTAACAAGTGTGAGGCCATGTCTCCTTTGCTTGTGTGCCTGAGCTGTCCTTAGAAGCTGGTTAGGTATCAGCAGAAAGTAGGCACTTAAAAGTATTTTTTAGCAAACTACATGCTCACATGATCAGAAAAACCAAACAAGAAACCAGCCCTTTGGGCAAGATGACTCTCAGCTTTCAGCTTAATTCTGGACAGTAGCAAAGCCCCTTGCTGTAGCATCAACTCACCCAAGAGCTTCTGCAGCACCTGTCCATCATAGAGGTCCTCTTCAAGTTGCTTGACAATGATTCGCTCTTCCACCAACACATCATTAATCCAGTCAATTAGAACCTGGGAGAAGAGAGGCAGAATGCAAACATCTATATACTGAAAAAAGTCACTTTTATCACAGATGGTGGCCAGAGGAAAGATGACAAACAGAGTCAATGGCATGAATAATCATATTGTATTTCGTTCCAAACAGTGGAGAGATCAAAAGGTGAAGAAATGACTCACCCAGATCTAACAGCAGCCAAGGGACTTGATGCCCCACTAAAATGTCTCTTATCTTTGAAACTCTAAAGCTAGCCAGGCTCTACAGTGACATGATTCATTGACATCTATTATTCCATTTTGGGACTTTTGCGCCTCAAAACATGAACCTCTCTCTCACTTTAAATCTCTGCAACCTGTTATAACAGATCATTAGGCCAGCCAGCAGAGGGCAACAGTCACAAAGATCTGAGCATAGCTGCCACCACATTCAACAGAGAAGAGTAGTACACTTGCATATGCCAAGTAGTACAGTATTTACTTGTTTGCTCATTGGCCAGAAAGGGATGGGTGTTTCCTAATGACAATAGGCACTCGATTCTACTAGAGGTTAAGTGGACTACAGCTGCTGGCACAGGATAGTCAGAGAAATGTGAAACTAAAGTTCCGTTAGAGCCAGCTTGGCTGACCAGGCAATTGACAATGCGTGCAATAGTTCCCACATGCATTTACCAGAATTATACAATCTTTCACTTGCTCACTGGAGTACAAAGGACATGAAAAAATCTTTAAAAAGGAACTGTGCCAAGTTTGTCAGCTGCCAAACAACCACTTCCAAAATGTTATGGACAAAGCAGTGCTGGCTCTTTGTTTAACTGGTAACAGCATAGGGAAACCATATATCACCACTTGTTCCACTCCAGTTCAGTATTCAGAACATAATGTATAAAAGTGCTTTTGCATGAATGCTCTGCTGCTGCAACCCTGCTAGGTGCTAAGGGCAGCAGGACTAAGCTCACAAGTGTTCACAAAATGAATTACATCACCAAAAATGAGACCATAACTTAAAACCTTATTATTTGTATCTATTGCAGATTTGTTGTCCACATTTCTACTTTCTCCCTTCAATTATGAGGGCTAGAAATTTGTTTTTCCTTTATATGAGAGCTAAAATCCTTGTGTAATCCCATGACTCCAGGAGCTAAAGTCTTAGAAAAAGAAAATGAGACTACTGCTAAAATTCATAAGATTTAACATAAGTGGGGAAATTAGGCATTTTGGCAATTCTGATTTTACAGAGTACTTTACTTGACTAATGCATCCAAATTAGGGAGTTTCAGTTCCTGACCCACGCCCCCAGGGAATTGAGAGTTTGTACAGTTTGTGCAAGGTCAATGAGGGAGGAGACAATTTACTACATGCCATCTGCTCTTGCAGTAAGTGTCTATGTGCATACTTTTATCCTGCAGTTCACTGAAAGAGAAAGCCTATTTTTCACTGCATGGTAAACTTGCAGATCTCACTGGATAATAGCGTGTACACAGTAGGACTGTGGGAAGCTTCACTCCCTGATTCAATTTGGTGGAGATTCGGCCCGATTCAGTGGCTGAATCTCCGAATGCAAATCAAATCAGAGGACCCAACTGATTCGGAGAGATTTGGAAAGATTCAGACACAGAGACAGCTTTAAATGTTTTTTTCTACACACCTCTAGGTAGCAGGGGCTTGTGAATGCTGCAATGCTGGGGCACATGGAGCATTCCACAGAAGCATGGGGGGCTCCCCATTGTATTCGGCAGCAGGCCCAGAAGCGGACCAGAAGCACTTCCGGTCCACTTTTGGGTACGCTGGGAAGCATGCTGGGGGCCCCCCCTCCTCCCGTGCCTCCTCTCCCCAGCTAAAGTCAAATGCAAGTCTATAGAATTTAGGCTCCTACATCACTTAGCATTCTTTGGGAGAAAAGAAAGAAAAAAGTTGTTTTACTGTTTTCCTTAAACTTTTTAGTGGAATTTAGCACTATGGCAAGACCTCATAAAGAAAAATGAAACAGTGACAGTGGCAGCCATTTTATTTATTTATTTATTTTGGAAACCTGGCATCTGAAAAGGAAAAAAAAAAGCAAGAATTATACAACTTATTTTATATGCAACCCATAACTTCTCTCCTGCTAAAGAAAGTGAATTTATAATTTATATTTTAAAAGCCCACAAAGAATGAAAAGAGCTGCAGTTTTCAGGGTGGGGGGGGAGAACATGAACAGCACCATCTCTTGATTTCCTGATTGCAAATGCTGATGCTTCAGTGAGGAAGCCTGGAAAACTGCTCTGTGTTGGATGCTTTTAACTCTTGCACAAGATACAAAAAAAGTCATGGTTTTTAATTTAAATGTACAACAAATACAGATATTTATTCCCATTATTCTCCATATGGACTCCCTACTTCTTCCATGTCTTTCATTTATCCAGCAGCAAGAGCAAGGCTTCCCAATTACTTTAGCTTTAGTAATAAATATTTAAACAACCTGTTAGGTTGTTAGCAGGGAGGCTGGGGTGTAAGCAGTTGTAGTTATACCTATTTAAACAACCTGTTAGGTCCATGGCAGAGAGGATGGGTGTAAGTGGTTATAAAACTGTGGTCGGCAGAATTATTTATGTGCTTAAAATTACACATATGCTTAAATTGCCTTCCTGGATCAGGGTCTTCTCAAAGGGTAACTCTTCTCTTCAGTCTTTTACAGCACAGGGGTCAAACTCACTTTGTGCCCTAGGCTGCGGGTCAGATCCAGCTTAGGAAACTGTGGCAGCAGCAGTGTCTTCACCTGTGACCTGGAGCAGATGGTGGCAGAGTCTCCAGCTCAGACCTGGGCTTGCTACATGTTCTGTGCCAGAGCCTGAGTTGCTGTTGCCATATGCCCCATGCCAGCTCCAGCCCCAGCCGCCCCTGTATACCCCATGCTGGTGGCCAAGAAGCTGGGTCCATGGCAGGGAGGATAGGCAAAATGGCCAGAGGGCTACCTATGTTACATCAGCCCTTGCTCACCCTCCTGCTGCCTATTACCATATCCACTAGGGCTTGAAAGCCCTGGATTCTACAGCAGGCCATTTACCCTGCCCATACTGGCAGTCCAGCTGGCTGGATAGAGCAGTTCTGTAGTCCAGATTCAACTTGTGTAGCGATAAGGGTTAGACTTTGGAGACAGCCCCTTACAAGGGAATGTCTTATCAGGTGAGGAATTTAAACATAATCCCTGGGGAGTAAGGGGAAATCAAGATGGAGGCAGCCACATGGTCTGTGCTGGAGGAACCATGTGCTGTGTTATCATTAAAGGTCTGTTCTCTTCCTTGTTTATAGTTGTCATTATTCACTGCAGGACCTAAATCATTACATGGTGTCAGCAGTGGTGAATGGGGAAGATTGGATGAATCTGCAGCATTATCAATAGCAGAAAGCTATCAATAGCAGAAAGCTTCCAGGCCCTGGTAATCCAGGGCCTGGAAGCTGCACTCAGCAAGGAACAAAGGTCTCTATGAGTACAGTACCCCTTCTGCAAGGCAGAATTGTAACCTCCCTCAGAGACGCACTTAAACATGGATGCATTACAAGCCTCTTCTTGCCTTTCATTGTCAGACAATATAGCTGAGAATTGGAGAAAATTTAGACAAAGGTTTGAGTTGTATTTAGCTGCTATAGAAGCAGAAGAGAAAATGGATAAAGCTAAATCATCCATTTTCCTGCATGTTATAGGGGAAGAAGCACTTGAGGTGTACAACAACTTCACATTTGCTCCAGGCCAAAACATGTAGTTAAATGAGATACTGAATAAATTTGAAGAATATTGTGTGCCAAAATGCAACGAGACTTTTGAAAGACATAAATTTTTTATGTGCATGCAAAAACCATATGAAAATATAGAGCACTATATCACAGAGCTAAAAAGGCTCCACAACACCTGTGTTTTTGGGGAAGTAACAGATTCTCTGATCAGGGATAGAATCATTTGTGGCATTACAGACAATGTATTAAGAGAGAAGCTGCTACGGGAAGGAGACCTATCCCTAGAAAAAACTATACAGATTTGTAGAGCAGCTGAAACTGTGAAGGCTCAGGCCAAATAGCTGAATGTAGCTGAGGGCGTTATCCATGCAATACATAGTAAAGACAGACAGAAAAGGCCACTTCAAATGGAAGCTGCCCCAGCTACCACAACTACTACTAAGGGGCAGATGAAGTGCAGGCAAGCATGCAGCCGGCGTGGAATGCAGTATGGCTCCAAACAATGTGCTGCATTAGGAAAGCTCTGTTTTAATTGTGGTAAGAATAATCATTTTGCCAAATGTTGCAAAATGCAAGCCCATAAAGTCCAGGTGTACACAGTGGAAGATACTCCAGAAAGAGAGTATTATATACATACAGTAGAATCAAGCAGAGCTACTGAGAAGAACTGGATCCTGCCACTGGAAGTGCATGGGATAGTGATTCCATTCAAACTGGATACAGAGGCTCAAGTGAACATTTTACTGGAGCAAGATTATAAAAGGCTGAAAAGTAAACCAAAATTGAGGCCTACAAAAGTAACCATAACTGCCTATTCAGGAGTGAAGATACTGGTCAAGGGAAAGTGCCTAGCCTGCATCAAACATAAAAATGTGGTGTACAATCCTGCATTCATTGTAGTACCTAAGGAAGTGACACCTATTTTGGGCCTAGCAGCTTGTGAAAAGCTCAATTTGGTTAAACGGGTGCTTGCATTACACTCTGGCTCAGGTTTCGAGGACTTTATTTTGGAATATCAAGATTTGTTTCAAGGCCTTGGTTGCTTACCAGGGGAACATACAATTCAGATAAATAAGCAGGTCCCCCCAGTTATACATCCTTGCAGAAAGGTGCCTTTTGCCCTCCGTGATAAACTAAAGGCAGAGCTAAAAAGGATGGAGGAAGCCCAGGTAATACAGAAAATTGAGGAGCCAACACAGTGGGTAACTCCCTCATTACTGTGGAGAAGAATAATGGACAGATGTGGATATGCTTGGATCCAAGGGATCTCAATAAGGCCATAAAGAGAAAACATTTTAAGTTGC